TTTCAAGAAGATAAGTAGGGTACAGATAGCTAAAAGTAAGTATTGAGAAGAGGTGTAGAAGAGGTCTGCCACATCTCAAGAGACCATCCAAGAAACTGGGTTGCATGCAAATTACCATAAAATACCTGCTTTTATAGAACGGATTTAGAGTTAATGGGTTAGTGGTAATGGATGAAATTAAGATTTCCTGTGTTTCATAAAAGCATGAATGTAGTACAGAACTTGAAATGTAGTTACATTTGAGGTAGATTTCAGAATTTTTTCTTTTGAATGTGGGATTTCACTAGATATCCAGGATTAACTGGTAATCCTGTATATTGGTGATTTTAACATCAGCTTGTTGTTTGAGAATGGTTCTGGTCTTGAATTGGCCTGTATTTAATGTATTTGTAAGGGTCTTGTGATGTTTCTAATGCAATGTCTTCTATTCAATGTGCTATTAGGTATTTTTTACATCTGCTAACCAGTTCTCCCACAGGGGTTTTCTTTCCTGAAAGAAAAGCTCATGTGACCTTAACTTTAGCCTGGGCAGAACAAAAGACCTTCTGATAAACAGAGTCTTGTAATGAGGAAATAATACCTTTCTTTCTTCCCTTGCTCATTGAAGGGGAGTGCTTTTGAGAAAATGAGGTGAATGATACTGGAAAATTTGAGTGTGTTTAAGTGTAGACTTTGACAGAGTCAAAAGATACTTTATAGGGCTACAGAAGGTGTAGGCTGCACTTTGATTTCACTGTGAGGGCTTGTAACCACAGCAAAAGTTCTCCTGTAAATTTCTTGTAATGGATTTTGAGCAGGTTGTGTTCTGCTGTTCTATGTTGTTTGCAACTTTCTTAGAATTCAGTAACAAGCTTGCCTTCTGGCTGGAGTTGTCACAACTATTTCTGATCTCTTGGAGCTGTAGTGGTACAACTTAAGTTTTGGATATCTGCCCATTGTTTGCTTTTTATCATCATGTATTGAGCTAATTAAGCATATTGCAGTAGCAGAATTTGGTACAAAATTTGTTTTCTCAGCGAAAACAACTCAGTCAAACTCTCCCTGCTTTTAGAAATTAAAGTTTTTGCTACTTTTCATACCAGTTATTTCTTCAATCTCGGGTATCACTTTCAATGACTTTTTTCACAGCGTGTTATAGTATATTTCTATTGTTATGCTGCTCAGGACTGAGATTTCTTGAAACTCATAAGCTGTAGATTCCAAGTTATGATTGTTATCGTTATGTTATAGACATTGATTGTGCCAAAACAGATGACATTTATTTCTTGGAGGCCACTAATTGTGGGCTAGTTTCTTTTAACTGTCTTTTAGTCAGTGAAGCCAAATGTGTATGATAAAACTGTACCTACCAAGTACTACATTTTGAAACTTATGTTATGACATTATTTGCAATTCCAAAAGAGATTAAAGAATTCTGTGCTTGTTGGTGGGGAGAAAAAAGAAAGAATGATGAATTTGAATAAAATTTGGTATCTGGGCACCTTGGCTGAATTCTTAGTACATTGGTCAGCACAAGGGTACCTTACACCTTTGCTGCTTAAGTGCTGCTTAACCTTGTATCTGAGAAATTAGAAAAAATTTGTTCTCCCAGGACTGGGGAGTGTGCTAGAAAAGAATGTACAAAGAATATAACAATTATAATGTGATCACCTTAAAATTGTTCTGGAATTGTAGGGTGGTTAATGGACATAAATATAAGACTCATCAGAGAGAAGAAATTGAATCTGATATTACAGAGAAGGCTAGATATTATGGCAGATTGTTGAGATTTCATCTTTTTTTCCTTAAGTCATTAAAAATATTTAAATGGTTTAAATGAGTGTGTTGCTCCAAGAATGAAACTACTTCTATGAATGACAAACTAAAATTTATGTGAGAGGAGTACAACAACTTCTGCAAACACACTAAAGAGATGACGGAAAGCCCTTTTACTAGTTAAATGGCTAATTTCGTGTCCACTAAGCAATGTTTTTATATCAGTTCATAGAATCATAGAATCATTAAGGTTGGCAAGGACCTCTGCTATCATCGAGTCCAACCTGTTTGCCTAACTGCCTCGTCCACCTCTAAACCGTGTCCCTAAGCACCACATCCACACATTTTTTGAATACTTCCAGGGACTGTGATTGTACCACTTTCCTAGGCGGTCCGTTCCAATGCCTAACCACTCTGTGAAGAAATTTTTCCTAATATCTATCTAAAGCTCCCTTGGCACAACTTGAGCCCATTTCCTCTCGTCGTTGCTCTTGCTACCTGGGAGAAGAGACCAACCCCCACCTCGCTACAACCTCCTTTCAGGTAGTTGTAGAGAGCAATAAGGTCTCCTCTCAGCCTCCTCTTCTCCAAGCTAAACAACCCCAGCTCCCTCAGTTGCTCCTCATAAGACTTGTCTAGTCATTTGTGTTAGTTCTTTTCCTGTATTTTTCTTGGGTGACCTCTTCTTACTGGTTTCATACAATTACAAGGCTTTTCCAGCTAAACAGTTACAACTCAGTTTGGAGAATAATTAAGCAGTGTTCTTGGTTAATATATTTTTTGTGGACAAACATTTACACCTTGGATAATCCTAGATAATCTATCAATGTGAATCTCTCTCAAAGATCTTTTGTGGTCTTCAGGCATAAAATATCATTTTATGCATAAATGAATCAAAAGTATTTTTTCTGGATCAGTACTAATACCATCATTAAGGAGACCTTTTAATCATGAAGAGCTGGCATTGTATCTTCTCCAGTACCAAGCTGCTGTGTAAGATAATTGGTAAAATAAATATATTTTTAAATATTGTTTGCTTCACTTTAACTTCTGTCCATGTTTCTCAGGTAGTTCTCATGCATAACAGAACAGGATTACGTATGTTTTCCTTGTACCCAGAAAAAAAAAAATCAGTTTTAAATGGCTTTATATTTGGATTTTCTTATTGTATGAATTTTACCTAGGTTTATAATACAAATGAAAACAATTTTGGAGAATCCTTTTTACCCAATGTCATTATCGTAGACTTATTTTTTACAGTAGAGTCAGGCTAATTCATACTGCACTGGTTTAAAAACTTAAAATTCATCTGTTCCTCCTATATGTTTTAAGAGAGGGCTGTGATGAAACTGTATACCTAGCAATGAGAACTCACTTTTAGAGTCTAAGACAAGGAGCCAGCACTTCTTGTTTCAACTTCTTGTTTGCTTGGTATTTGTCCTGTGGAACTGTTAGAGAGAGTCAACTCCTTTGTGCCTCAGTTCTGCTTTCTGGAAATTAAGAATTTTTAAAAACAATTACTTTTTTAATAACTTTTTTTTAGCAGTAGCCTGCCAGTCTTTGTGAAATCTCTGAAATCACTTGAGAATAAATGACATACAATACAGTAAACTGTTGATGTTAAGAAGTCTTGGTAACATTGAAAAATATACTCTACAGAAGGATGCGAAATAAATAAATAAAGTTGAACTTCACAGAAGGTGATTACTTTCAAATGTTATGTCCTTGATACAGTAAAATTGCTTATTATGCAGGACTGCTAAATGTATGGATTGCAGTTATTCATAGTATATCTCATGGTGATTCTTTCTAATGGTCTGGTACAAACACTAAAAAGACTAAAGATAAAAAATAACAATTATTTTTATAATAATAGAGATAATAAAGACTTTCTCATCTTTGCTGATTAGTGAGTAAATTGTTCCCCTTTGTCAACCTAGTTTTGCTGATGTTAGTGCTGTAACTTTGTGAATCTTCTGTGGTGTTGCATAATGACACAGTCAAAAGTATTCCTCTTGGCTCCAGCAAAAGACATGTGCTTATCTCAGAGCAAGTAATACACCTGTGGTAAAGTGGAAGAGGGATTGAGAGCAAGTATTCAGAGAAAGTAGTAGGTGGTTAGATGGCTCTCACTATATTCCTTCCATTTTTCAATCTGACGTTTTCAGGAGCTGCTTGCTTTAACATTAATTACTATGCCTTTCTTTTCCTTTTATTAATTGTTTGTAGGAATTGTGTTTTCAGTTTTTGAGAGTGATACCGTTTTTCTAGAATGGAGTCTGAAAGGAGGTCAGGAAGGACTAAACTAGTGATGTTCTGGAAACTTTCCCCCTCTCTTCTTCTCATCTTCTCCCATTTTCCATGAAACATAGTGGTTTCTTACCGTAATATAGTTAGGTTGTATAGTTAGGTTGAAGGGAAAAGAACCTGATATTTTCATTTTAGAGAAGGGAAGATTGGGTAGCTCATCTGAACTGTAGCTGAGGTGCTGTTCACATCCTGGTTAGAGAGTCAGATACCAGAGTTCAGTAACACTGAAACCTCGTCTTTAATTTTTTGCTTTCCCCCTCATTCTTTTATCTTCATGTTCTCATCAACTGGATTAAATAATTATTTAATGAACTGAGCAGGTTTTGTGGAGTGGTACATAAATGATCATGAAAGTTGAAACGTGGGAAGCAATCTTTGTTCATAGAAATAAAGACAAGATATAAAGAAGCAAAAAAACCTCACCTGTTTTTAGTGGTACCAGGTATCTCTGTGAAAGTAGCCTCTTCTAGATAGAAAGTTGTGTTTGTTTACTGTATAGATGGTCTGGAAATGCTAGGTAAACCTAGTCTTTGTGGAATCCTCCTAAATTTATATGCTACAGTTGATTTTCATGTGTGCAGGCGTTGCAGAATGAATGTGAATGTTAAAAAAAAAAAAAACCAACAAAACCAACAGTAAAATATTTCCATAAAGGGTAAGAAAAATATGCCTACATTTACAGGTCCAAATTTATTTTAAATTATTTCACTTCTTAACAAACAAACAAACAAAACCTCAAACTCCTCCCCCTGAAAATCTGTTGAAAAACTTAGGAGATGCATTTGATGTTTATACCAAATCTCTCAGAACCTAGCAGTGACATAATAAAAAATTCTAAAACAAGTTTAAACAGTATTATGTATTGTAAATATTACAAAAATTTCCTACTTGCTTTAATTAAAAGATACCCAATTTTGCTTATCTTGCCTTATTAGGGTTCTTTCCAAGCAGCTCTCAGGGATGTGATGCTTTTCTCCGCCACAAGATGACTCTGATTTCTCCATCAATATTGAAAAAGTATGGAATTCCTTTTGATAAGGTACGTTAGTGTTTATTTTTAAACTGTGTATTCATGCATTGAACTAGATTGTTTACTATAAGGATTGTTTATGGTAAAGGTGGGGCGAAATTTTTTTTTTTTTAGGCACTGACTCCATGAAAAGATGAAAACAAATGCTTGCACTATTAGGACTTTTACATGGCTTAGTTTGGAATTTTCTAGCAGAAGACACTTGTAGCCATCATAATCTTTATCCTAAAAGTTTCTGTGATTTTTAAGACATTACCAATATTTCTTATTTCTATTTTATTTCCATGCAAGCTTGCATGTGATTTTCTGTTGACCGAAACACTTTTTAATTAGCTGTATTAATTTAAGTTGTATACCTAATATTTTAAAAATGAATGTTTGATTTCTTTTTTTATGTATATTGTTTTTCTGATGCAATTAAATGTAACTTTTATCAGTTTTATAATCTAAAACGTTTCAGGTGAAATAAAACCAAAATAACTGTTACTAATTTAAAATATATTTTAGAAGCTCTAACATATTAGAAAAAGAGTGAATGATTATTTTGTGCTGCTACATAGTGGCAGACTGAACATTTGATGATAACATATAAACAGAAAATGGGAAGACTAACCGGCTTTCTTCTTTGTGGATGAATTTAATACATAGCTGCTTTCAAAAACACCTGAAAATAATATTCAGTTTCTTCTCCTTTCCAACAAGGTTTTCTACCTTATTGTTTTCCACTTTGAACTTCCTACAGGTGCCAGCTAATAAAAACGTTCCTACTGCATTGCTTTTTCTTTTATTTATTCTATATCCTGAATGCTTTGTAAATTCTAAATTTCTAATTCAAGAGCTTTGTAAGCCTACTCAGAAGAGTAGAGCTTGATTCAGAAGGTCCCCTGCCTGATCATCTGTTTGTTATACTGAGTTTTTAAAAGCCTTGTGATCATTAAGGGGTTATGATTTTTGGTTTCCCACTGCGTAGACTGTTTTAAGGCGTTCAGAAGAACCAGGCAATATATACTTTTTTCTCACTCTATTTGTACTGCAATATAGTCCTGTAAACTGTCCTCGCCACACTCCTTGTTTATTATTGTGGTTTCTGTTTTAGTGTATGCAGTGGTTATTTATTGATACCATGTGGACCTGTCTATACAAACTTAGCTTATGTTCCCCAGCTTAGAATGTTGGATAATGCAGTGCTTTCTGTCTGTTCTAGTTGATATTTTTGTAACAGTATGAAAGGTTAGCCCATAGAAATAATATTTAAGTTAATGTTTTCATGTATATTATTGTGGTGGTTTAACCCCAGTAGGCACCTAAGCACCACACAGCCACTTGCTTGCTCCACCCTGGTGGGATGGTGGAGAGAACTGGAAGGGTAAAAGTGAGAAAACTCGTGGGTTGAGATAAAGACAGTTTAACAGGTAAAGCAAAAGCTGCACATGCAAGCAAAGCAAAGCAAGGCATTCATTCACTACTTCCCACGGGCAGGCAGGTGTTCAGCTATCTCCAGGAAAGCAGGGCTCCATCGTGTGTAAGTTACTTGGAAGACAAATGCCATTCACTCCAAACATCACCCTTCTTCTTCCCCCAGTTTTTATTGCTGAGCATGATGTCATATGGTATGGAAGATCCCTTTGGTCAGTTGGAGTCAGCTGTCCTGGCTGTGTCTCCTCCCAGCTTCTTGTGTACCCCAAGGTACTCGCTGGTGGGGTGGTGTGAGAAGAAAAAAAGGCCTTGACTCTGTGTAAGCACTGCTCAGCAGTAACTAAAACATCCCTGTATTATCAACACTGTCTATGGCACAGGTGGGATGAAGCCACTAATTTGTTGTATGCCTTTTGGAATATCACTTTACTTTTCATTCTTAAATCAACCTATGTATATAATTGAAGAAATGTAGGCATTTGGAATGATACTGCCTGCCTTGGAAAGCAAGCTTTTTTGAATAAATTACTCATCTAAGAAGCAGTTTGTTTTCTGAATGATATATTATCACATGGAAATGTAGTTGCTGAGTTCAGGTTTTGTAATATTTAGGTAAATACTGATTCCCTTCATAGCCTTGTGGTTTATCATGAAATGTCAGCTGAAACCTTCCAAACTTGAAGGTTTTATAACTAGATTTATAGTTTTGGATTTACAGCACATTACTCTGAACAGTATCATTTTCAGCAGTTGGTGTTTAAAGTAGCATATTGCAGAATGCCAGCATATTTGTTTTCAGTACCACACATTAGAGGTGGGTAAGGGAGTTGATGTTATTATTTCAGTGTCTTGATTTTTCCTGTATTCTAATCTAAAAAAAAAAAAAAAAAGTGCTAGAAGTAGTTAAATATTTAAGTTTGGTTCTGTCACCTAGTCTTGGGAAGAAGCAGACTGTACCCAAGAGTAATTGTAATTAATGGGATGCAGTGAGAAAGTGAATAGAGAAAACCAGGCTGTGATCTCTCATGGCTCGAAGTGATAGAAGTGGAAATGTGCTGAATGCTGATAAGTCAGCCTCTGCCTACCAGGTGGCAGCTGAACTGCTGCTTGTTGCAATAGAACACCTGCTAAACTGTCAGCAGTGGGACGGTGTATTGAGATAAATTTTAGAATTGTTAGCATTGAGAATAATCTTTCTTAAACATTCCCACAGCGATTGTTGGAGTGCTACAGTAGCAGTTATAATATATGCACCTATATGGGCATTTGCATAGATATACTAAATATGAACCTGCAAAATTTAACCTTGCAAAGTGCAAATGCAGAATGTAAGATCCAATTCTTTAGCTTTCTTAGCTAAGTATATTTTTCTTGTTTTCCTCTCTTTCCTTCATCCCATAATATAATCAGAAATATACATCTTTAAGTGCTGTCCCTGTGTATTTATTCTTGCATTGAGCAAAAAAAATCACACAAAGAATTTGTAACACTATAAGATGAGAATTTTGAAGGAGAAGAAAGGGAGGATTCTAAAAGTGGAAACTGAATGTAAGACAACTATGCCAGCAAAAAGCTGAGGTTTAAGACATGATATGTTAATAAGAAAAATGTTGAGAGTTGTGAGTTTTAATTTTGGTGACTGTTTAAAATTTAACTCTCCACTTTTGCAATTTCAAATCATAAGTGTATTTCCCCAAAAAGAGTCTTACTTGTCGTTCCAATTTTTCTTACTGTTTTGCTTATGCAAGCATTGTCACAGAATGAAAACAGCCTGTTTAATCTCTAAGAAGAATCTCTACTGGCTGCTTATGGCTTGGATGAGTATACTCTTTGCTGGGTAAAAAAAGTGGCTGGATGGCCAGGCCCAAAGAATTGTCATAAAGAGTTAAATCTCCAATTGGTGGCCAGTCAAAAGTGGTGTTCCCTAGGGCTCAGTATTGGGGCCAGTTCTGTTTAATGTCTTTATCAGCGATCTGGATGAGGGGATTGAGTGCACCCTCAGTAAGTTTGCAGACAACACCAAGTTGGGCAGGAGTGATGATCTGCTGGTAGGAAGGCCCTACAGAGGGACCTGGACAGGCTGGATTGATGGGCCAAGGCCAACTGTATGAGGTTCAATACAGTGAAGTGCTGGGTCCTGCACTTGGGTCACAACAACCCCATGCAACGCTACAGGCTTGGGGAGGAGTGGCTGGAGAGCTGCCTGGTGGAAAAGGACCTGGGGGTGTTAGTCAACAGCCAGCTGACTATGAGCTGGAAAAGGCCCTGGGGGTGTTAGTCAACAGCCAGCTGACTATGAGCCATCGGTGTGCCCAGGTGGCCAAGAAGGCCGATGGCATCCTGGCTTCCACACTTGGCAGAGTGTGGCCAGCAGGACCAGGGAAGTGATCGCCCCCCTGTACTTGGCACTGGTGAGGCCACACCTTGAACACTCTGTTCAGTTTTGTGCCCCTTGCTTCAAGAAAGGCATTGAGATGCTGGAGTGTGTCCAAAGAAGGGCAACGAAGCTGGTGAAGGGTCTAGAGAACAGGTTGTACGAGGAGCGGCTGAGGGAGCTGGGGTTGGTCAGCCTGGAGAACAGGAGATGAGGGGAGACTTTATTGCTCTCTACAACTACCTGAAAGGAGGTTGTAGCAAGGTGGGGGTCAGTCTCGTCTGCCGAGTAAGATGCAATATCTAGCTCAGGTTTGCCCTAATATCTAGCCTAGATATTAGGAAAAATTTCTTCACTGAAAAGGTTGTCAGGCACTGTACCAGGCTGCCCAGGGAAGGGGTTGAGTCCCCATGCCTGGATGTATTTAAAAGACCTGTAGATGTGGTGCTTAGGGACATGGTTGAGTGGTGGACCTGGCAGTGCTAGGTTAACAGTTGGACTTGATGATCTTAAAGGTCTTTTCCAACCTAAACAATTCTATGAAGTGCCCTTATTTTCCCATAATCAACAAGTGCATCTTATTGAATAGTCATCAGTCATTACTCAGATTATTTGCTTCATTTAAATGGATGTTTGGTTTTTAGTGGGCCTGCCATTTGATGTGTGTTTCATGTAAAAAGGCATATCAAACAGAGTATGGGGAATCTCTTTTTACTTCTGAATCTCCTGGTTTGTTGATTAACTCTTATCAGATAGTTCAGTAGACAGTGTGCCATTTCTAGTCTCTGACTAGGCTGTCCTTGATACAGTCTCTGGTTGTCTGGCTTTAAAACATGAAAGCTGTCTCCAAGTGGAGAGAATATTAGTGACTGACAAGAAGTGCTGTCTCTCCTTTTCTTCATGTCCAGAGGAGAGCAGCAGTCCATCCAAGTACAGGAAGATGAGATTTCTCTCTTGAAAGAGAATATCTTGGCCAGTGATTTGTTTACCTTACCCCACCTTTTTTTGTAATTTACTCCAAAAGCCTTTTAAATCTGATATCTCTTTTATAACTACTAGGAATTTGGTTTCTTTTTGACAATACAAAATGTAATTACTATGACAGTGGGGTTTAGTTTTTTTGTTTGTTTGTTTTTCTTTTTTCTGCTTTCTGTAATTTCTTGTTAAGTTAGTGGCCTCAGCACACTTTTCTTTTGGTTGCTTTTCACTGAACTTGTAAAGAACAGAGCCGTCCTTTGGAACTATGCTTGCTGATTCTCTGAAGCAATGTCAGAGCATAACTGTTACAAAGCTTTTCCTCTTTGAGAATCTCCTTCCAGGCCCCTTGTCCTTTAGGTATTTGGAATTCTTGTTATCAATTTTACCACAGTCCTTCTGCTCTCTTAAATTTTGCTTAAAGAAAAAGAGGGGAAGGACAGGGGCAGATTAAAATTTGTTTTAATGTAATGTTTAAAGTGGTGTTTTAATGGCTTTAAATTGAGACATTCTGCATGGCATTTCCAATGCAAGAATCCCCTTGGTGTTAGTAGCTGTGAGACTGAAGAATTGGTGGAGGGCAATTGTTGTTAATTCTTCTTCCTGTTTTCCTATCCAAAATAATTTAAAGATGCTGCCTAAGGGGATCCAAATGTATCCAGTGTGTTGCTTTGGGATGAACAATATCATGTTCTTTAACTTCTACGGCTCATTAACTTAGAGTTTCTCCTACTTTATGCTTGATCATCAATAGTAAGTAACTTAAAAGGCAAATCAGGCCCTCAGTCACAGGTCTTCAGATCATAGTTTTTGAAGTGGGTGGGTACGGGAGAGAAGGGTGAGAATAAGATCTCTCTTCAGCCTTTCCAAGAAAAGTTCTGGTGCCATACTAGAGACACATCTTCAAGGTGGTGGACAGAATAATTTCTTCAACAATTAATTTGTATTTGTATTTAGGGATGATAATTGTGGGTATTTTGGTCCAGCCTGTCTCTGCTTCCTCTCAGCGAGGAAGATTAATATATTCTTTGCACTGTCTTTTCTAGCTCCCTGTACTTCCAGATTTTATTACCAGTGAACCTCTGCTCCAAGATTAGCTTTTTTGAAAGTACTTTCTGAATTTTCAAAATAATACATGTAGCTATGTATTTTGTATTAAACAACATTGTCTCAAATATACTATTTCTGCTTGCATTAAATCGCAACTATGTGCAAGGTGAAAAAAATTCTTTCTTTCTCGGTAGCTGCAAAGGCAAATATAGTTTTCTTTGCTTCAGGAGCAGAACTGCTTTTGTAATGTGGCTGACTTGGAGGTTTTGGTTTTTTTTTCTTAGGTTACACAAGAGGCGGGAGAATTTATGATTACTTTCCCATATGGATACCATGCAGGATTTAACCATGGTTTTAACTGTGCAGAGTCAACAAACTTTGCCACCATCCGATGGATTGATTATGGAAAAGCAGCAAAGTTGGTAAGTCATATTGCAGAAAATTGATGCATAAGGAAATCTTTCCTGGGGTTATTTCTTTGTGAGAATCTGTGGAAGCTGATGAGAAAGGGAGAACTATTAGATCAGGTAGCACCTTATGCTGCTATTGAAATTTTATTTATAGTTGTTCTTTTTATAGTGGGTATTATACTTCCAGGAATGTGTATTCCTCTCAGCAGTGAGTTTTGTTTGCAGTTTAATGTGTATATTGTTCTTCAAAACCAGTTCTATTTATGGATATTTTTAAGTTGAAGCTGCATATACTGAGGTTAGTATATGGGAAGACAACTGACTTCTGCTCTTAAACCTCCTCTAAGCTCTACTGTTTGTGAAAACACTTTATTTAAACCAGGAGTTTTTATACCTGGAAAGAAACATAAATAATGAAACTTTAAACAAAGTTTAAAGAAACAAGTTCAACTTTTCTCATCTTTAGTGTCATCACATATCTTCTAGTATAAGATAATAAAGGAACTGTGAACTCAGAGTAGATATATTCAGGTTTTCAAATGAGATGTGTTTTACTGAAGATATTTTAGACTGAAATTTTGTTATGTGGCATACATTTTTTGCTTCTTTTCATGTACAGCATGTGAATAAACACACAAAATCAAGAGAGCGTGCAATTTGTTCAGCAGAAGTTTATTACTGTTTTTCAATATTCTGTGATTTTTCTTAGAATTATGGCTTATATAAGCTTTGGTTAGTATGCTTCCCAAAATGTTTAAGTCAGAGGCATTTTCTGCATTGACTTGTTATTGAAGGAACTCTTTCCAATAGTGATTTGCTTAATATATTAGCTGATAAGATGACATGGAATAAAGAGCAAAATCAGATGTGCAGGTTCAACAATTAAGTAATGATAATGAACTCTGATTAAACACTTGGGATTGGAACACCATCATGTGAAAGTTCTCAAGCAGTGGAAATTCACGATTCTAGGCACTATTGATTGTTATTGTTAATGAGATTGAATTATCTTCAAAGGGAAAAAGTTTATAAGAATTTTTTTTCCGTGTACTCTGTATGCATATAGTAGTAAAAGCATTGAAAACTTCAATATGCATCTAATATGTTGAGGCTGGTCTTTACCTTTAATGGGAAAGTTGTGTTTTTAATAGACAACAGATAAGATGTTGACTGTAAAGTTAATAGGGAAAAAAAAATCTGTATTTGATAGTTCGGAATTTCTGTAGATAGTACAGTGAAACAAAGTTGAGAGGAATATGGGCATGGACAAATATGAGGTAACTGTGGCAGGTAAAACTCCTGGATTTTAAAATCCAGTATGAATGTGCTGCAGCCCTAAAATAGATTCAGCTGAACTTCAAGAATGGCAAACTTTTATCTGCATATGTAGCAAAGCTGAGGTAGTGATACCTGCAACTACATCCCTTTCAGTGTACAGGCTTCATATTTTTTATGTTTTAAAAAAATGGTCTACCATTTGGTGTGCAGCTGCCCCAGTACAGACTATTAAATGTTTTATGCCTCCAGCGTGCCTCTCAGTTATTGTATTATACTGTAAACTTAATGTCACATTTAAATTCAGCAGAGTTAGAAGATAATTTTTTAAAGCTAATGAAATTTTATTCCTTTACACCAATTCAAAAGTGCTGCTGAAATTCTGAATTTTTAGCTAGGAAGTCTTGGTGTATACACTCTAAATACAGTTTTATTTAGTCAAAGTTCTCTAGAATATGGATAAAACTTTCATCTTAGGACACTGAATTCTGTGCTCTGTGGTTATTGTACATAGGAGCAGTATTGTGCATATATAGTATAAGAAATTAAAGTAGTTCCGTGGTGTCTGCAGTTGAATTTAAATGTCTGAAAGTTTCAAAGTGGCAGCTGAAGCAATAATGACTAGTCTCCCTCTATAAAGAAATCTTAGATACCATTGCCAAATGTGAACTCCAGTTTCTTTGGCAAATGGTCAGAGTACTTAATGTTACTTGCTTATTTTTTATTGCTTATTACCACAAGAATAAGAACTAAAGTTTATTTTTCTTCTCTTTTTAAATGAAAAAGAACATGCTAGGAAGTGCTAATAGTAGGATTTTTTAAATATTTTTTTAATGGAAATATGTAAGAAGAGAACTAATGGAAAGGTGGTGAAATAATTCCTCATAATACTTACTTATGCTTGTTTATGCTGTACAAATAGGGTAAACAAGTCAAACAGGGAAAGTACTATAACTTGTTATCTGTTCTTAAGTTATAATTATATGATACTTTGAAAGCACACACAAGCTATGGAGTTACTGCAAATTGGATACTCTGTTTCTTGATTATGGTGTTTCTCTAGAAAAACATGAGGAGAGCTGTGATTAGTTTTATCACAACCTCAGGAAACTTCCTGAAAGTATTAATTAAAAAGGTAAGAAGTCTAAGTGCCCAAAGAATACTGATATTTTAGAAAGTTTTATTTGCAGCTCTGGTAATTTAATTTAAAAGAAAAAAAAAAAAACACCACACAACATTCTATTCCCATTTGTCATTCTTCGGACTACTGATTTTGTGTTTGACTTATCTTTCCTTTCTGTATGTGATATGTACAAGAATTCATTTGGAAAAAAATATTTTGGATCCCCTAGTTCCCCTGTATTGTACTGCAGAAATTGCCTGTGTCAGCAATATGCAACAGTATCTAGGTCAGTTTGTTGCTGTATTCTCCTTAGAGAATATTGTATACTGATGACTGATGATTTGTCTTCTTATAGGAACACTTTTATTTTTACAGAATAGTTTCTAATTGCTTACAGCTGGATTTCTGTCTTAGAAAAAGAAAAAATCCTGAAGTACAATCAATATTCATTCTCATTAATTTTGGAAAAAATAATCAGGCAAAGATTTCCACTAAAGCTGTAGTAAATATTTAGGCTGTGTGACGGTACTGCTTTCCTGCATGAAATGAGATGGTGTTAAAGGTTCTGTGAAATTGATTGCAAATGTTAAATCAGAGATCATTTAGACCCTCAGTATTGGAAACTTTGGTTAAGCAGAGACCATGGATGCAAATTCCAGAAATTTATTTTATGTCTTTTAAAATGCTAAACTCGTGATCTTGGTTTCACTATGCGTACCCTACTTACCTGTAGTAGTTGAACCCTGGGAGCAAGGATGTACCATCTGGCTTGTTTTCTAGAGTTTGTGTAAGACTTCCACTCACGGGGTGACATATGAAGGGTAACACCAGGTGGCTCTTTGCTACAACTCGACTGCTGCTTTGAGCTGTGTTCTCACTTTTGGACAGAATTAAGTTGGACAGAATTAAGCAGAAGTAAAAGTAGATTAAAAAAAAAAAAGCATAAATGGAGAAATAACAGATATACTACAAGTCCCCCAACTCCAGGGGAGAAACAGTGTAGTTTTTGCTGTCTTTTTCCACTGGCAAGAACACATAGGAAGAGAAAAAGGAGATACTGGTGAAAGGAACAAACCAGTCGTGCTCTCCTGAAGATGCTTGGCAAATGAGTGTGGTGCAGGGGGATGTTGGTGAAGTGCTGATGTACGGTAGTGGCGGGAATCAAAGGTAGGTAGAGCTCAGCTCACAGGTACTTTAGTTGCGTTTGTTATGTTCTGTGAGGATGAGAGGCGCTCTAAGCTTTAGATATTCTTAATCATCATCATCCTATAACCATCATTTGTTGAATGCTATTTATTTTTGAAAAAAAGTTATATGGTACAAAATAAGGGCAGATAGGGTATTTCTTCAGGCTTCTGTGAATTTTGTCATTTTCCTAATGGAGCTACATTTATTTGAGTAGGCTGGAAATGTGTAGCTTCATGAAGTGCATTTTGAGTTTCCTTACTCCAGTGCATTTTGTTACTGTTGGTAAAGCAGATGAGCCAGTGGCAATTAGTTTGCATGTTTTGTAGGTATCTGCTTTGACTTGTGCTGAGCAGCTAACTTCTGTGCTGAACAAGTGGTGATGTTCAGTTATTAGAATTGGTGAATAGAAATATTTACACATAATTCTTTTGTGTCTAATAAAATAAAAATCCATCTGAAGCAATTGGATAAAAGACATTTCTCTAGTCTGAGAAAAACCTTGTATTCCTAATGTTTATTAGCTGCAGGGTGGGACACCCTTGGCCCCCACCCCCAAATCTGTGGATCATCTATGTTCATTAATTTTATTTTTTTGTCTGTTGTAACTGTTGTTTCTAAGGAATGCCAATGTTCCCCTCATACAAGGGTTACAGTGCAAGACCTTTCATGTACCGGTGCCAAAACGGGGGTTCTCAGTCGTGATTTTCACCTGTCCAAATTTTAGCTCCAGTGGATAGGATCAATGAACTTTATGCGCTCTAATTTGATACTGAGAACTGGAAACAGTTTTAAATTTTGAATAAGATCCTGTGGTTTTGTGTACAGGCAATTTTTTTTTTCTTTCTTGGAGTTGCTTTTTTTCCTTGCTGCTATTTTGTAAATGTTTGAAAAGCTTAGATGTTGGCAAACCAGTTCCTAATTACAGGGATTCACCCTAAAAAGCATAGCCTTTGACCTGTGTAGAGGTTCTGGACTGCACGGTCCCACCTGAGCTTGATAGGAGAAAGTAGTTCACAGAACAGAGGATTGGGTTGTGATGGAGGTCCTGTGTAGGAAATGCCCAGGAGATTGGTGATGTAAGCAGGTTCAGTCAGGGCTCTCTAATTCTTCTTTATACAGTGGTGATTATTTTAGTTTCTTTCCTTCCATTTTCCTCTTGTTACTGTTCAAATCCCCACATTTCCCTGTCTGTTGCTTTTCCAAATCCTCTTGTCAGGGTCTCTCACAACTCTGTCACCCCTTGCCCAAACTGATACCCATACTTTCAAAAGCTTTCAGAGAAAGCCCTGGCATTTCCACACACCGCTCTTGTTGCTCACTGTGTCTGTTTTGTGGCACCACTTGGTGACTTTCACTCAGTATAAATGTATGTAAATTTTACTGCCTTCTATCAGGGATAGAGTCACAGTAGGTGATTTTACTAGTC